GCAAAACCTTGCCATTCTTTATTATAGAATGATTTTGTAATGGTAGTTTACTTGCATTACAGAATTTTATATGTCTATTGATTATTTCAGTCGTACTCTCATTGTGATATAAATCGTATGTTACATTTTCACTAAACAGCATGTTTTTGTTTTTATCTATTGTGATGCCAAGTTCTTTCATCATAATTTGAATGTAGAATTTTATGCATATGATACCAAAGTTATTGCTTGCTTTATCTAAAGGACAAATTACAAAGTTATGTTAAAATTTTTGAAGTATGTAGAGTTGAAAAGATATTTTTGTTCATTTCTTGGTTTAATTTCATATAAATGAGGTTTCAGTTTTTTATTGAATCTTTTTATTAAATAATTTTCTATATCTTCAACTTGGTTACTTTTTATTTTGAATTTGTTTATATATGTTTCTTTGATTTTTTGTATTGTAGTTGTAATCCATTCTAAAATATCTTTCTTATCAATTTCATTTTCCAATCTGTATTTTGTTCCTTTAGACATGTAAGTTCTTAGGCGTTTGTCTTCTATTAAACTCAAATTTCCTGTTATATATGTTTATGGTATTCATCAACATATTCTTTGTACTTGTATTCATTGCAATTACATTGTTTGTTGAGAATATTCAAAATTTGTTCATTATCAAGTCTATTAAGAATATTGTTGTAATTGAATAGATATCTTGAAATTGAAGAATCATAGGTGTAAACTAATCGGCATGGTTTGTACTTAGTATGACTATTCTTTAGAATCTCACGAATATATTTATTGCTAATTATTTTATTAAGATTAACTTTGTCTAATATATTGTGAATATATTTTACTGTTACATTGATATATTGATCATTATTATTGTGTTTTTTAGTATTGTTATTTTTGAAATGGAAGTTACATAGAACTAAGCATGATGACTTTAGTTTTGATATTTATTTTGTTTAGAAAATTATTATCAAAACAGTAGGTAATAATTTGCTTTATGAATGTCTTTTTTAGTGAATGTATGTAATGAAACATGTCAGATTCAGTTTCAATTTCATTGATTGTCGTTAAAAACTTCTCTATTGTTTCAGTATTTTTGTTTCTATGTCTATATTTACTGCGTATTCTATCTTTTATTATTTTAAGGTTGTAATAAGGATGGTTATTTTTGTATGTAAGTGGGTTATTTATTTCTGATATGTTACCATATCCTTTGATGTTGTCATTGAATCCATATGGATGTGCTGTATTCAATAATTTAATATAAAATAATTCTTTGTCAGTAAGATTATTTTTGTCTTCATCGCATAAGTTGTCTAAAATGTTTACTTTTATACTTCTCTTCGTGCATATAGTCTGGAAATAATCGTAAAAGTAATTATGGACATCATTTTTATTTATATGATAGATATGTTCTTTTATTCTTGTTTTTAAAAACCTCGTAGTCATTCCTACGTATTGTCTATTACATTCATTACATGTAATGCAATGAATTAGATTTCTACTAGTACAAGAAAAATTATTATTACAATATGTATGAATTTTCAATTTAGTTGAAGTGCTTATTATATGAGGTTGATGTTCTACCAAATTACATATAATACAAGCGTAGAACATTTTTTCGTGGTATTATTATTACCAAAATTATCTAAAGTATAGATGTTATTCACCTTACTCTTATGAAATTGAGTTAGTTTATAATAATCACTACAATCGTAAGCTATAGTTTGAGACCAAATAAAAACTACACTGTGGCTGGCCTCTGTCCAGTGTATTATAATTAGGAGTTTGCATTTTAGCAGGGCTGCTGCTAGGCTTACGGCGAGCCTTAATGGGTTTGATGAATTTATGAGTAAATTTTTAGAAAGGTAAACGAGACTTATGGAGTCGCAGAAAGAGTATCCTCCTTGCTCTCTCCCCACTATTATCACCCATCATAAGTCTCCCTATTTTTTGGAACAAGAGGTATGGCCCTCTTTTCATATAATGGCAATCAATGTGGCAAGTACTATAAACCTACGACAAAAAGAAAGAAGAAAAGGAAAAAGGAAGAATGAATTACATGAATAAATTGTATAAATAATAGATATTAAACTTACCTGTATTAATATAAGTATTTAAAATTATATATGTAATAGTAAATTTATTTATAGTATGTAGAATATGTAGAATATGTAGCAAAATATTAGTAAACGATTTGTAAAATAGGAAAAAGAAAATGCTGTACAATGTAATAGAGTAAGGTGAATAATTAATTAATAAACTTAGTTTTGATTATTTTATTTTGTTTAATATACTATTATACCTATGAAAATAGAGCATACTTTTTAGGTTATTTGAATAAGTGAGAGTGTAAAAGATTACATATAGTGTAAGTTTAATGAATTATAAATGATTGCATACGATGTACAAAATTGATATCTTATATATAAAGCTGAATGTCTGTTTGTCTGTCTGTCTGTCTGTCTGTCTGTCTGTCTGTCTGTATGTATGTCTGTGTGTACGTATGTTCCGAATAGAAAATTCCATTTCTGAACCGATCCGGACCAAACTTGGCACACATACACTTCGGGCCCCGGCGGGTGTCATAGGCTACTTTTCGTCATCGATCGATATCGATTTTATCGATTTTTATCGATTTTTTTGCTGAGTGCACCTACGGGGCTGGGAGTTGGCACAGGGGGGGGGGGGTAATCGAGCATGCTGATCATCCCCAAGGGGGTGATCAGCATGCTCGATTACACCCCTGTGCCAAATTCCAGCCCCCTAGCTCAAATTTTGCAAAATCGATAAAATCGATAGAAGTAATGGATAATTCCAAAAACTAATATTGTATTCGTAATCTGCATGCTCGATTACCCCCCTGTGCAAACTCCCAGCCCCGCAGGTCAAACTTTACGAAAAATCGATAAAATCAATAAAAGTAACCGATAATTCTGAAAACTAATATTGTATTCGGAATCCCCATGCTCACTTCCCCCCTGTGCCAACTCCTAGCCCTGTAGGTGAACTCTGCGAAAAAATCGATAAAAATCGGTAAAATCGACATCGATCGATAACGAAAAGTGGACTGTGACACGCGCCGGGGCCCGAAGTGTATGTGTGCCAAGTTTGGTCCGGATACGGCGGAGCCGGGTAAGCCAGCTAGTTGCTAATATATTATGACCTAGATTGGGTACTGACATTTAGTGTAATCGGGAAAAGCTCTCAAGTAAGCACTAGATTGCACAAGCAAATCATAAAATTTGCGAATATATTCAAATATATGGTTTACAGATGTTGTATTTATAATGGATAAATAAATTACGTAAATTACGGTTGTTAACTTGTTCTAGTTTTTTTAGTATGACATGTAAAAATGAGTTGGAAGAGATGTTTATGCTATATAAAAGTTTAGCAGTTAGGTTTGATTTCATTCTTGAAATATCATATAACCAGTGTGGTGAAGGTTAGAAGTAAGTGAATTCTTTTGTGTACCATAATCAAACGCAGGTGCAATCAATGAAAGTGTAGGGAGGCGGTTTTTTCGTAATGAGGTCTCAAATGTTACATGATTTGACCAATTACAACTTGCCACCCATGCTGTAAACCTTTCTTCCCTTTGCTCTGCTTAGGGAAGCTGTCGAAGGGTGTATCTTGCGCGGTAATGGTTCTTTGTGGAAAGTATCATAGTTGTGTGAATTGTGTTACGCCCGAAAGATAAAGATGTACCATTGGTAATGTTCTAAATTGCACCACTTTAGTAAGTATAAAATGCCACCAAAGGAGATGTTAATTTTTTCTTAATTCTCTCTTGCCCAGGGAAGTAGTCAGAGTGCAAAAGTCAGTGTGGACCACCACATCAATTAAACCAATATTCAAACAAGTTATGCCATTATAGAAATATAGCAGTTGTTAAAGGTCCAGGGAGAGCTCGAACTATTTATGTCTTTGAAGACCGGTTTTTTACATTTGTAGAAAAAATGAGCGGGGTTTGTTTATCATCAAATGCAGAATAAGTACCCTCGATATCATCCCATATGTCTCTCCTCAACATGACGTGGATTACGTGGCTTGATGAGGCGCCGCCTCGCCTCTGGCTCGCGCCACGTTGCGAGCGCATCATTTGGCGCGACGTGGCGCTCAACACAACGTGGCGCAGGCTTTTCCACGTTCTTCTCGTTGCCACATCACGCCGAAAATGCGCACGCAACGTGGCGCAAGCCCGAGGCGAGGCGGCGCCTCATCAAGCCACGTAATCCACGACATGTTGAGGGAAGACATATGGGATGATATCGAGGGTAGGGTTCAAATGTTTTAGTAACGAGGTTGAGCATTTACTTAAATAATTTTGTTAAGAGGGTTAGGTAGTGTGTGTTGCGGTTAGTTGTTCTACTATGTAGTTATCTTCCAAGAAAAATTTTGATTTACAATTATAGTATCGTGTATTCTAATGTGCTTTTCAGTAATTATCTAGAAGATATACTAATCCGTATATAATAGGAATATTATTAGGTTGTTTATAAAGTAAAATTAATAGAAAGGATCTAACTTTAAGTTTTTAATCTAGATATTTTAATATTAAGATGTCGGAATCCAATTTGGAAAAGAGATATAAAAATTTTCAAGAAAATGTAAATCGGAGGGTAGCAGTGGCGTACCCAGGATTTCGGCTCGGGGGGGGGGGGCGACAAAAAAATTTTCTAATGAAGGTGCGTGGCGTTAGCCACGCACTCCGAAAAATTTTTTGGGGTGCTTATCAAAATTTTCGCGGGTCCCCGACCCCTAAAATCCGGAAAAAGGGGGCGTGGCGTCAGCCACGCCCCCGAAAAAATTTTTTTACAAGGCTAATTTGAATTTTTAAAAATTTTTAAAAATTATTTTAATTATTTACAAAAATAAACAAGTCACTTGCACATTTTCATAACCCATATAAGTAGCTTTCAAAAATTTCGCGACCTATTCTCGGGGGGGGGGGGCGCCCCCCCCCCCCCCCCGCCCCCCCCTCGGTACGCCACTGGAGGGTAGTGATGGAGTATGTGAGGATAACGGGTATTGGAAATCCGAGAAGACGTCCACTTGATTACGTTTTGAAAGAATTTGGTGAAGATGTTCTGAAGTAAGTGTGTAGATGTATAAATACAATTATGGTTAAATATTAAAGGATTTTACATTTTAGGGTTCCTGAAACCATAAAGGAATGGTTCTCTTGGCCAGCACCTGCTGGGACTAAGGGGTCATCTGTTGCGATTAGAGTATATTTATCCTATTTTTATATAGACAAAATTTTATGTTAATGTGTTGTTTTTAGGCTAAGATAACTTATCCGTTTTGGAAATTTTTCATAAACGAGGGAAGAAAGAATCTCAGCGAATATAATAAAGTGAACGAGAAGAATATCATAGTAAGCAGAGAAAAGACGATAGAATTGAGCGATCAGGATAAGCTGTGATATACCATTATTTTGGTTTTGATTAGATCAATACTTGCATACATTAAGTTTATATATAAGAAAGAAAATCAGGGATGCTTATGCACGTGAAAGAAAAAGATGTGTAGAGATGTCCATAAAGAAAGGAACCATAAAGATAGGAAGTTACGAGGTAGTTAACTTGGTGTTTAATATGAAAAAGAAGTTGGAAAATTTTAGCATACTAAGCCAGCTATAATAGCCATATGTTTGGATATAGATTTGTCAGAGTGGAATGGTCTCCCTCTAGATGCTCTATTAACGGATGAGGAGAGAAAATTGATTGAAGTAAGTGCAAGCAATGCTATATTTAATAATGGTTATTTTAAGAGTGGAGTTTACAAAAGGGGTACATTTATCCTAGAAAGACTAGAGAATTTCAATGTAAAAAATGTAAGTAGAATTAATATGTTATTTATACAATTATGTAAATATTTTTAGGTGAGTGATGAAGGTGTCATGAAAAACGTAGAGTAACTTGTATTAAAGAAGTATTTTAGTGGTGTTTTAAAATAATAAAGAGTTTATTTTTCAAGTTTTGTTAAGAAAAAAAACAAAAAGAACATGAAGTGACGGTGTTATTATAGCGTATGATGAAATGTAAAAAAATATATATGTGTGTATGCAAGTGTGAATAATATTGTGTGTATGATAGAAGTATTATCATGAGTGAAAAAAGTATGCAATGATAGAACTATGAGTAAGAGATCATAGAGAATGATAGCTTGTGAACATTGCATTGATTGAAAAACATGGTGATGTGAAAAAGAAGAAACTGTCTAGTTCGACAGTACGACCGTTGGTCGAATAACAGAAGTATTGATAGAAATAGAAAAATGGAGAAACTGTCGTTTTGACAGTACGACAGTTGGTCGAATAACATAACTGCTTAGTTTGATTTGGTCTAATTTAACACAATAGTTTATTGCAGAAAGATAAGTAAGGTGAAGAATGGAACTATTGAGAAGATTGTAAAGGATGTTGTGAGGTAAGGAAAAGAAAAGAGTGGGTTAACAGTAATAATTGGATTGATGCGAAATTTATAATAGTGGTTTAATGAGAAAGTAAAGAAATTAAAATTTTTTAATTTGTGATAAAGCAAAATACTTTTTTGGTTATTTAAATAATTAAATTGTAGAAGATTGTATATAGTGTAAGTTTATAGTTTGAATTATTTCAAATAAGTTGCATATAAAAATTTGATATGTGTTGAATTTATTTCATGGGTC